TGAACCCTGAAGCTTCTGTCACGCCGTTCCCCACTGACGGCACTGTCTCTCCCCCAAGGCCTCACACTATTGAAACAACTTACAATCGTGAGGGGGAGTTGGTCACTATTCGCTGGCCCGATCTGGTTCCTCCCACTGTTCCAGGGCCCCAATATGATTATCATGTGCAGCAGCGACCACAAGTACAGAAGCCTAAGCAAAGACTTCCAAGACGTCCAGGTGCTGCAACAGCCCCAGGATCCTTCAGTGTCAATAGCTTCGGAGCCCACAACACCTTCTTTGACAGTGACAAGAATCCGTACTCGAAGCCAATGATCTCGTCAGATCGCTTCTGGAGCCATCAACAATGCAGCTACTACTCTTGTGTTCTCTACAACCAAGAGAGAATCTTCCCTCACATGCGCCTTGATTGTGAAGCTATGGCTGGGCTCCCCTGTCTTGAAGAAGCTCTAGATTGCTTTCATGATGCTATCCTTCTGGAATTTGTCACAACCAAAGGGCACTGGAATGAAGAGCTACTGCTCCAGTTCTATGCTACTCTTCACATTCATGGCTACTACCGGGATCCAAAGACATGGATCCTCGAGTGGATGACAGGTGATGTGCACCATGAAGCTAAAGCTCAGGACATCATTGAGATTACTTCCCTGCCCACTCTAGGTGAATTGTACGAGCCTGGTTGTCAGATCCACACAGAAGAACTTCAGAGCATTTTTCAGCGGCCTGAACCCAATATGAGTCAGATTCTTAGCATGATGAAGCCATTGCCTCAAGATGCAGAATATCCCAAGGAATTCTTTGTCCAGGACCTCGAGTACTTGCCCCCGCATAGTTTATCATATACTGAGGCATGCTTTATGGCCAATCAAGGGACATTCTTCTGAAGCCAAACTTGAAGGTGCTATGAAGACATTGGTATTCTACATTGTCAATGGCATCAGATTCAACTCCTAGGATTTCTTCACTAGACAACTTGCTGCATCTGGGATTGATCTGTTTGGCCTGAAGTTTTATGCTCCATGGGTGATGCGCCTAATCAAGCTTCATTCTACTGTCAACTATCAGCCTTCAGCATGCAATCATCTTATCTTTTTGCCTCAGGTTGATCTATCAGTTGAAGCCATCTACCCCGAGCCTGCAAAGGAGCCAATATATCTTCACAATGCTGATCATTAAAGCTTCACGCAGCCCATAGAAGGTGTTCATGTTCCAAATGCCGTTGTCCCTGCCTATCCTCTTGCTGGCAATGTGTGTCTGCCTCATCGTGCAAACACCAAAGCCACTTCCAGTACTATTTCTCAAAGGCCTCGGAAGTGTTCTCGTGTCCTCAATGACCGAGAGCTACTTGTGGCCCTACATCAGAAGCAGGACAAGCACCATGACTGGCTGAAGCATCAGATGCATAGTCTCTTGGTGGATGTCAATCGCATTCACAATTTGGCCACCAAGAACTCTTTTGTTGCCCATGAAAATGCACGGCGGTCCTGGAAGAGCCTAACTCTGCTGTGTTCTGAAGATGATCTTCAAGCAGATGGCTTCACTGAAAGCTTCAAGTTTGACTCCAGGCCTCCACCAAATGCAAGTTGGTGCCGCACTCCCTCTCTTGAAGACTCTAAGTATTCATCTTCGGCTTCAACTGTTGTTGCGAATGTCGTCGATGAAGAAGACGACACCACTTCACCAACTGTGACTGCACTGCATATCGACTCTGCACCAGGCCCCTCTGCACCACCAAACTCCAACAACGACCCTGCTCCACCATCTGCTCCTTCTGGGAACGTGTAGATGCTCTATGTCTTCAAACCTTTTTGGTCATTACTGACAAAAGGGGGAGAAGCATATGAGTTGATAGTCTTCAAGCGGGTCCTCATGGGTGGTTGCATTATTTTTTGCCAAGTTCTTACAACTCTCGTCTTTTAAAACATTTGGTTCTCTGAGTTGTAACACTTAAACTTGATGGTCGTCTGCTACTTTTTCTGCTATTCTGTGATGCGATGATAAATTCTGTATGAAGTCATTCTGCAGACGTCCATTTTTCATTATGCATATCATTATCTTCGTTATTTACTTATATGCATGATGTAGTGTCTTCACACTTTGAAGATGGCCTCCACAAAGCAAAACCTTCCATGTGCATTTGCATTCAAAAGCAAATCATTTATATGCACATCTTCAGGGGGAGCCTCGTCATATGTATGAAGACAATACTCACAACACTAAACTTTCACATACTTTTATTCCCGTTGAAAACTTCAACTAGTTTGTCATCAATCACCAAAAAGGGGGAGATTGTAAGTGCATCTAGTGCCACCCCTAGTTGGTTTTGGAGTATTAACGACAAACTTGGTTGAGGGACTAATGTGCTTGTGAGAATTGCAGGATAACACAGGTAGTAGTCCCATATTGATTCGGTTTACCTACCAGAGAAGACCCCTAAAAATGCGTGAAGACATTGAAGACAATGGTGGTATGTGAAGACATTCACATTGAAGATTATGACAAGAGAAGACATCGCGTGAAGACTATGGAGTGCGAAGACATAGTTGTTTCGTAGTTTCCTTTTCTTCTTTGTTGAGTCATAGGTACAACTATACTGTTAAGTGGGGTCCAAGTGAACAAAGTCAGAGTGACTGATGTGATGCTCAACCAAATCCTATGTCTTCGAGCGAAGACAATGAGAGAAAATCTTATCCATAGCTGGATGAGTCAGCTTGGCTTGTAGCCCAAGCTAAGCTGTCGCGTGTGTTTGAAATCTGACCGCTGGACACATGTCAGTTCCTTAGTGACCCAGGGTCATTTTGGAAAAATCAGGTCGGGTTGCCTCCTGGCTATAAATAGCCCACCCCTACACCATAAATTGGTGGCTGCTCAGAGTTAGTGCACGACTTTTTTTGTTTGAGAGCAACCCACCTCCGAAGCTTTTGAGAGAGAATCCTTGCGAGGACAAAGCCCAAAAACACCCACAACCAAAGAGTGTTAGGCATCACTGAAGTCTTTCTGTCCGCGTGATCTGAAGACTTATTACACTTGAGGATTGTGGATCCTCCAGCCGGTTAGGTGTCGCGTTCTGAGCATCCAAGAGTCATTGTGGATTTCAGCTGAACGAAGTCTGTGAAGGTTTGGAAGTCTCCCTTGAAGACTTACCAAAGTAATTGGGCGAGGACTAAGTGTTCTTAGCTCAAGGGGAATAAGGTGAAGACAAGGTCTTCTGAGTTGAATCTCAGCCTACCTAACTAGACGTACAGTTGTCATAGCAACTGGAACCGGTTCAACAAATCCCCTGTCCTCTCCGAGCAACTGGTTCTATCCTACCTCTCTCACCTTACTTACAATTTGTCTTCGTGAAGTCTTGGCCCACTTGCCTGATCTGATCGACTTCACTGTGCGAAGACTGTTGCTTGTTTGGCTTCATACTATCTTCCATCCTGATTCATACTACCTAGCTGCTGATAGTCTTCGTGCTTTCACTACATTGCTTACTTGACAATGGCTTGTCTAGTGTAGTCTACCTTCCGCTGCATATCAATAGGTTCTTTCTATTGTTTGTTTTCAAAGCACCCCTGTTTTGAAGACTTTCATAAAAAACGCCTATTCACCCCCCCTCTAGTCGAATACTAGCACTTTCAGTTGTGCCTATCGAAAACGAAAAAACGTGTTTTCTGTTTCTTTTACCTTTCGCGAGAGTCACGGTTTTGCTTTCGTGAGAGGCATGGTTGTGCTTTAGCGAAAATCACGGCCGTGCCTCTCGGAAATGAAAAAAAACGTGTTTTCTATTTTTTTCCTTTCGCGAGAGTCACGGTTTGGCTTCCGCAAGAGGCACGGTTGTGCTTTCGCGAGAGTTACCGCCGTGCCTCTTGGAAACAAAAAAACGTGTTTTCTGTTTTTTTCCTGTCGCGAGAGTCACGGTTTTGCTTCCGCAAGAGGCACGGGTGTGCTTCGCGAGAGTCGCGGTCATGCCTCCTCGGAAACGGAAGAAAACATGTTTTCTTTTTTTTCCTTCCGCGAGAGTCACGGTTTTTCTTCCGCAAGAGGCGCGGTTGTGATTTTGTGAGAGTCACGGCCGTGCCTCCTCGGAAACGAAAAAAACGTGTTTTCTCTTCTTTTTTTGCGAGTCACGGTTTTGCTTCCGCGAGAGGCACGGTTGTGATTTCGTAAGAGGCACGGGCGTGCCTCTTTCGGAAAGGGAAAAAATCCATGCTCCCAGTTCGTTTTTTTTGTGAAAAAAAGTTCGTCAAAACCTATCGACATGGGATCTAGTTTTGAAGACCTCGACGTGAGAAATCCAACAATGAAAGCGGTTCGAGATTTGGACGCACGGTAGAGATAAAACATTTTGAATAAACGGATCTACGAAAAAAGGAAAAACTCCCAGGTTGCGACAAGTGGCGCACATCGAGCGCGCCACTTGTCACAACCTAGGAGGTTGGAGTGATCTTTGCAACAAATACTCATCAACTAGTGATTTCGAAAAATTGTAGCTCAGATCGGGTTTTCGGCTTAACTTTGGGCCGGGCCCATGATTTAGAAAAGAGGATAGTTTGGGCTTCCACCTTCCAACAAGGCTTGTGCTGATATTTTAAAAGTTGGGCTTTTACAAGATCGAGATGAAACCCCGCCCGACCCGACATTTTACTCTCAAACACAAGCACACAAGATTAGCACTGAAGCTTAGCTGAATCACTCGCAATAATTCAAAGCGGTGCCCAGGCTCTTCTACATCCAGTGAACAGTACATTCAGAAAAACAGTAAAAAATTCAGAAAATATGAAATATTTAGACATCCAACCTTGCGCACATGAGCATCTTGAATGCCTAAAAATTTCACATCTGTTCGAATATTGTAATTTTTTTTAATTTACTGTTCATGCCCAGATGTCGTCCAAACTTTTATTGAGAATATTATGGTAGAGTAATTTATACAGGCTATAAAGCATCGTTCAGAAATTCTTAACAGGTTCAAGGATGAACATCTTGTGTCTACAACACCATGCACAGGAAATTTACGACAACACTTTATAACTTGTAAGCTGGTCTCCACCCTCGTCGTCCTGGGACGAGAAGAAGCGCCGCAGCTTGAACGACATCTCCGGGAAGACGCGGGTGGGACGGTAGTCCTTGTTGAGGCAGACGACGGTCGCCGTCGCTTCCAAAACAAGCTGCCATGCCATGCATATGCATCAGAGGAGATCAACGGGGGCGTGCGTGTGGGATGATTGATCAGTACAAGGGGTGGTAATGGTTTGTGCGCGTACCTCACGGTTTGGCAGCGTCTCGATGATGTGATCGACGAGTATCCGTGTGCCCTTTATCTGGACGAGCCTCACCTTGACAACGAACTTGGCACCTCGCTGGGCATCAATCAGTATACCAAGAGAGAATGGTTAATATGAAGCTTGAGGTTTCCGGGTTTGAAAATAAAAGCCTTGAGATTCCCAGTCTGAAAGATTTCGGATTGACATACTAGTAGAGGCTTGAAGTACTTGAGGTTCAGTTCCAAGACTGCCATCGCGTTGCCGCTGCTTGCTATGGAGGTCATGCTGAAGCCAATGCTCGCAGCCATCTCCTCTCGAGCTTCATGTAATTTTAAGTAGAAATTATGATATAGTTGTGTCTGTGTGCATCAATAATTGATATGGAGACGATCGAGGGTTTAACCTCCAGTCGAGAACAAATTAAGAACCAACACCGTACATGTCCATATATAAAAGGTAAACAACCCGAGCTCTGCGGTAGATAACATTTTGGTGCCAACCTTTGTGGATGTAAACAACATACATGGCATTGTGAACGACTCCATACTGGTCCAGTTCGCTGTCATGGACGGTCATCTCCAGTTCAAAGAACTTGTCCGTCCTAGTCGAGTTGCACAACAAACCGCAAATATATTGGACCAGATCCAATTGTTCTACAATGAATGTAAAACTAGTTTAATTCAGAAGAACCTTAGTTGTATATCTTGGCCGACGTTGCCATTGGAGATTCCATGGGAGCAAGTGGCAGGGCCGGCGAGAGCCTCCACATGGCGGGGCCGAGACGGATGGCTAGATTGCAAGAGGAGGTGTCCGGGGAGAGAACATGTAGCTCTAGATCTAGCCCCTGCAGCACGGGCCAAAGAAGGTGGTGGGTGTTGGGTGTGGGGAGCGATGTTGGTAGCCGGCTGCTGCATGGTGCTGGTGCAGGAGGGAATTGCAGTCTTCGCTCTCTCTTCTGATGAGGCCTGGAGGTATGGTATGCCGTATGCATGTGCCCGTCTATATAGGGCCGGCGCTCGCATGCTTGTGGCGGCGCTTCACTCTTGCCACCTTAAATAGATTCCATCACCTACGTGCTGTCTTTTCCGTATTTTCCGTATCGATCAATCATGAATAGTATTCTCAGTGCATCGCCAACGCATAGCCCTGTGCTGCTGCCCGCTGGCCACCTACGCTCGCACATTGACTCGTATTCCCTTCAAAAACACTCCTATATTATGGGACGAAAGGAGTATATGATACTACGCACATTTATAGTGCCTGATACATGATAGTATGCTAGTGTTTGTTATGATACGGTGTTACGATATGATACTGAACACTCTCTTTCTTCATTTAATTTTATGTCACCTCATTAAAATTGTCTAGTTAGCATAAGTGATAGTTTTAGTTATTGTATCCCACGCAGGTAGCTTCATGAGAGAGACGGAACGTGAATACAGAAGAAGAAAGAGAGAAAACAGACCCACAAAAGCTGCGCACGAATATGTTGTCTACGTGACCAGCATGAGCAGTAGATTCCTCCTGCCTCCATAGCCCATGCCCTTATGGGACAAAGTACTGTAGAAATTAATGGCAGTTTGGAATGTGCCATTATCGACTCACAGTGACACGGAGGCTCTAAAGGGGCCAAGTAATGATGGTGCCTCTGCCATGCAGTATTTTTTTTCCTTTTATTGGAGATTTTGAAGAAAATACTTCGTGCATATTCTCACCTTCTAGCCTCTCATCTGCATTGCTGACACAGTCCTTGCTGAATTGCAAAGAACTCGGTGGGAACATTATTGAATTCATGCTCTAGTCAATTACTCTAAAATTCTGAACAGGACTACAAGGACAAACATCATATTTCAACACCTCCATCCCGTCTAGACTCCTCCCGACCTTAGATGAGGGATCGATGTAGGCCATAAATATTATTTTTAATAATGCACTTGGCTGCGTCTTGACCTCAAGACCTATATTGAATTCATGCTCTAGTCAGTTACTCTAAAAATCTGAACTGATAGAGAAAGGCGATCAACATATGTGAAGAGCATTTCCAATAGTTGTTGTTAAATTTGCCATGTAGAATATATGATGATATTGCAGAATGTAAATGAGGAGAGATTGAAGTTGTCAATCTGAACCAACACTCATTACAATAGCACCAAAGCATAGAGAAAGTGCGAGCATACATTTTTAAACCACATAACTTGTATAAATATCAAAATATTTGTGTACCCTATTCACTAGAATGGAGGGAGTATATACTCTCACATCTCTTATTGGACAATTTAGACTCACTCTGTTGCAGTAATTTTATGGTGCGTTTTTGGTTGATGACATGCATAATTTTTACAAAGATATTACTTCCTGCCTAAGTTCACAACACTATCAAATTCATCAAGAAAAATAATCAACATATATAGTATCAAATCACAAGATCCATCATGAATCACATTTCCATGTTGTGTTGACATGAGATTGTAGATGCCATTTTTCTTAATAAACCTTGATCAAAGTTGAGCAAATTTAACCTAAGGCATAATGCATGAACCTTATTAAACGAGACTGGCTTTTCTACTGTTGGATGTTGGTACACGCTTCTATCTACACCATTCACAGCAAGTCCCAACACCAAGAGATCCTAACCGTGGCCTGCCACTCCATCGCGATTTGCAGAACACTTATGCACACGAACAATAATTTGACAGGAAACACTCGGTGTGGGTCCCCCTGTCCGACTGAGTTGTATTGCGCCCAACTACATCTGACAACCCTTTGATTTAGGGCTTTTTCAATACGGACCCTCAAACAACATGCAAGCGTCCAGACTGTACTCTGTCCGAATGTAGTTTACCATCCAACATGGACCCCTATTTGTCCGTTAACATGCCTGCTTGTCCGTTTTCCCGCGAACTGGAAGCAAACTAGGGGAGGTTTGTGGGCGTCTGGACCTCCGTCAAGTAGGACTCCGACAATCACCGGCCTACCCAACATCCCCTCCCAGACCACTTTTTTTTCACTCCACCCCTTTCCACCTTGCTATGCATCCGCGCCCACCTCGCCGACGTCCTTGTTGTACCTCTCCGGCTGCCGCCCAGGCATTGTCGGACGTCCGCAGCCCCCACCCATGTGCATGCCCGCCTTGGACTACGCCACCGCCCACCCCGGATCCGTCGACATCCAGGTACCTCCGCCCCTTGCCGACGCCTTCTATGGCGGACACCACGCCTGGCAGGTGGTCGATCAAATGCCATTGGGCTTTTTTTTCAACCTTGTTGTTGTTTCCTAGAGTAAGCACGATGGTGGGGTTCTCGGTAATGGAGAATGAGTTGTTTTGCGACGCGTGGAGGATCGCACATATGGACATTGTAGGATGAGGCAAGGGGGCTCGATTTTGCTTTTGGCAAAACGTGCCTGCGTTCTTTCATGAGCAAAAGAGCTCCGTGCCCTATGACTTGCACGTGATTCATGAACACAATGTGAAGTCGCTAGCCCATCAGCGGTACACCGTCTCCAACTCCGCCATAAAGTATTGCGGAATGATTGCACGAGTGGAGAGAATGTGGCCACTGGCTCGTCAACCATGGAGATCATAAGTTTTGTATCTTGTTTCTCTACATGTTGATCTACCCATTGATTCACTAGATGTTGCAACCTGATAATCATCACCTTGTACAACCCGGATACGCTGTCGTGTTGTACCACAGAACCAAGGGCAAATCATTTACATTCATACATTGTTGGATAAAAATCAAGGGACACGGAGCATGGGACAACATGTGCCAATTCCAACCCGAGTATCGTTGAATTTGGAATTGATGAATTCAAAAAACTTGTGACATCCGGCTATGTTGGATGTAATATTTATATTTAAACTATTGTTGCACTAGGGATATCTGCATATTATTTATGAATGAATTGTGTTATTTTTTATATAGTTATTTTGAGTGATACGCGTTTAGAAAAGCAAACAGGACGGACGTTTAGGTGACAGGATTAAATGACCTTCCTTATGTATGTCCAGTGTGGATCAGTCCACAGATAAATATTGTGTTTGTTTTGAGGGGCGGTATTGCAGATACACTTAAATATAGTGTTGAACATGGCTACCATCCGCCAAAAAGAAAAAGAAAAAAACATGGCTACAATAGAATGACGTGCCCTGTCCGCTACAGTGGCTCAGACCTACTACCTACTCCCTCCGTCCCTCAATATAAGAGCATTTTTTTACACTAGTGTAGTGTCAGATACACTATTATATTATAAAACGGAGGGCTTCACTAGTGTCAAAAAACACTTTTATATTATGGGACGGAGGGAGTGTTGTGTAGGTGTCACGTGATTAGGACAAATACCTGATTTGAGAGGAGGCATATAAGAGGGGTTTCGATACTTTGTTCATTGGGACTATCTGGACCTTGTGGAAGCAACGGAACGCAAGGGTCTTCAACAGAGTAGATCATCAACTGAGACCTAGGGAGGCAGCGAGGTGGATCCTAGATGAGTTGGCAGAATGGAAGCTTGCAGCGGGCGGTGTTGGAGGTTCACAACGTTTCGTGAGAATAGCCTAGTTTCTCTTCAATGTTGGTGTTGGTGTGGGTGTGTGTTTACCTGAATGTTTGCATTTGGGTGACACTTCTTGTAAATGACTTTGCTCCCCTTCTATAAAATTATGATACGCCATTGGCGTACTCTCGAAAAAAAAAAGAGGCATCAGCAAATGTACTGTGGCCTGTCAGTATCTTGCATGTATCTCAATGGAAGACAATAATGCAGATAAGGGGTGTGACTAAGCTCGGGAGCAGCCACACCTTTCTCTTATTGAATCAAGGAAAAGAGAGAGACGAGCCACAACGAACTGAAGATGCTCTCGACATTTTGTCCGTGTAGACGTGTCAGCTCCATCACGTACTAACCCATCCACATCATCGTCATCATCACTCCATCGGTGTGGTTCGCAGTTGTGAGTTATTGACTGAAGCAAACATGTCTCTCGTGTATGCATGGGTAGCGGTGTAGCACCTTGGTGGCCCTTGAGCAGTGTGTTTCGTGGGCTGGCGACTGGCTTGATGGAATTTGGCTGAATGGATTGGATGACAATAGTGATCACCGAAAGAGTGCATGTTTATGGGCCGGCAATGTGATTGGTCCCCTCCCATCCCATGGTCATTTAATTTCCTAGGAAGTACAATGTGCTTCGCGTACGAACTGCACTGGTGGTTGGGGCGCGTCATTGCCCGCCGCCACAGATGAGATGAAGTTG